TACGGAAGAATTTTAAGCGTATCATTGTCATTACAGCCGTGGATATTGTGGAGAGATCGCTGTTACAGTGCCCAAATGTCAAAAAATTTAAGTCGAAATTTACGGAAACAACAGGGGGTTGGTTTTTACCGAGTTGCTTCAAGGGATCAGTCTGATCCAGCGATCTAAGTTTTGATTTCTAAAAACATTGTCAAGATTTAAAATCAACTGAAAAAGCACCGTATCACAACAAATATTCATCTTGTCCATATACCCCCGTTTTGCTTTGCAGCTCACTTTCATACAAATATATACCATATATTATATCGAATATACAAAAATGGAAGTATCAAAAGACGGTATACACAAAATGTACCATCACTCTGATCCTCAAGAAGTAGGGCACTGCCAAATGCTACTTTTGATACCATAGTGCATTCCGTGAAGTAATCGGATGTTCTTCATTGATAGCTCTTCTCTATTCACCCGCTAAAGCGGCTTACGAAATTGATGCATTTTTGCAATTTCCGTTAAAAGCATTGCAAGCCATATGTGAGGCAGATTCTTGCTTAGTTAGTAGGAACATGAGTTAACATCGACATTAAGGAAAGTTCAGCTATAGTCCGAACTGCTGACCTATTTACGTTCTGAAAATCGGTCAATCGCTGTAAAGAAAACTTAAGCGTCATGTAAAAGGCCTTAAAGAAAACCAAAGTCACTGACAATTTTTTAAGCAGCTGCGCTTAAAATTTATAGTTATAGGATAAAAAAAAAAAGCATTTTCGATGTAATGCTTTATTCACACGCGTTTATACCAAAGACATACAAAAGGCGGATAGGTTGAACTTTCAGTTTCGCTGTGAGGTGGCTGCATGGCCCATCCAGGACTTGTGCAGGAAGATCAGACACCAGGCAAAGTGCTTTCTAGCTTCTAACTGGTAGAAGGAAAGTGTTTTCATATCCAGTAACGAGTAGGGTATCGGCTTCCGTCTACAGAACAGATCCAGACAAACTCGACAGGTAGCGTTATAATTAAGGTAAACAGCTCTCCAATGGCCGTTTCAAAGAAAAAGAGCTTGCGATGAGAAAAGTCTAGTCTAAATTATGCTTTCACTTGCTTTAGTCAGTTTCAACACTTGAACATTTTGATTGATATTACTTATTACTGAGGCACAGGAGTACTCTAAGCTCCTATAATAAGGGGATACATGTAACAGCAACGGCACCGTCCATAGACGGATAGACCAAAACGTTTCGAACCATAGAAAATTAAATTGTTCAATCCATTCGACTACCCTTTGAATTTGGGTTTATCTTCTGGCTAAATATTACACTTATTTCTACGATTTACATACAAATGGCTTTGTCAGCCCATTATATCGGTCTCTGTCAAGGACACTGACGATTGTTTTCCTAGGGCAATAGGCTCTGGATGACCTCAGGTACAAATGTCGATTTGGTAAAATAGAAGAAGTGGCAAATATCGTCCACCAAAAACAAGAAGTTTTTGTAGCGATAATTTTTGTAAAAACAATTCTTACATTTAATTGCCGAAGCAAATATTCGCACACTGCAATCCCAAAAGAAGTGGTAACTGTTCACCAAAAACAACGCATTTTCCTCCCCCCGCGTACAGATACACAAAACTTACTCGATAGAAATGACAAACGGCTTCGTACAAAATTGACGTTGACATTGAAACGTATTAACGTATTGTACTACCACTTATATGGGTGTAGAAAATGGCCCAATAACCATTAGTTTAGACGTGTTCTATTCTGATAGACGTACCGCAAGTCTGGAGACCGTTACAAATTTCCGACAGCTTCGACCGACCAGTGTAAAATCCCTTTTAAAAGAAACTGCAGGTAAATGAACGAGCAAAATTACAGTATAGCTTTTGGATGTAGACAGTTTATAGTTATAAGTGGTTGACAAAGCGGGAAATAGAAAATTTAAATAGGCGAGGAATCAACACCGATAAAAACACTTTACTTGTTATTAATATTTATTTTAGGGGCCTCGCCAGCAATTACTTTCTTTGATCGATGTCTGCACAGGCCAGGACGAATCTGCGCTGCACCAAAGCCCAGTCTGGCCACTTCAGTAGTGTTGCGGATAACGTTAAGATTACTGTGAATTCAACCGTTTGACTGTACTTCATTGAACTGGGTCTTGACTGAAACGCATGCTCAATGGCAGCGGGGATCCGTCACTAATTTTGCGTGTAATAGATGTGTAGTGTTGAAAAGAGACCGCTCATCAACGGCTCTACAATTATATGTTTGCACGTCTATATATACAAGAGAGATACAAGAGTGCCTTGTTCAGGACAGAAATTAAGTAACGGTTGCAGCCCTTTGATCTTAATAGCGGAATATATATATAGAATACTGAGCCATTTTTTGTTATACGTATGCAATTACTACTTGTTAATATCAGATCCCTTGTGGGCTGTATATCTAACTTGACTAACTAAAGCAGCTGAAGTTAATTGCTTTGATGCGAAACACTAGGCTAAGAAAGCTAAGGTTTATTATACTGTAAAATAAACTTATTATTATTAAGCAATAACAACACAATCATCGGTCATTCAATTGTTCACGAAAAGGTGTTCTAGCTATACTCAACCGAAGTTAGGGTCTATAGTCGGGAGGGTAATTCGAATTTCTACGCTTTAATGATCATGATGAGCAAAGCAACGGTAGTGACACTGAATAGATTAGCATCAACAACATTTCGCTTGGAAACGTACGTCGTACAATATTCACCTACAATCGGCCTCGTCTGCTCAATATCATCAGGTTTGACCTTTTAAAAAAGAAAAGGACACCGATGACTCCTGTTCCGACAACTGTAACCAACGCCTTATTTAGCCTCAGCGTTATTTTTACTTAGAAGTTACGCAGATCATTAAACATCGTCTCAACGTGAGCGAGTTTCCAGCTTTGAAGAGTGCTCGTCTGATACTTGCCCCATTGACAGTTGAGTGAGGGCACTAGTACTTAAAAATATTACAATACAGACTTATTTATGAGCTCGATGTAGAATGCAACAGTTTTAATTATACATATAAATGATACGAAAAAATCAAACTCAGTAAAGAGTCAGCGAGTGGAGAAAAACACCACACAGTATATAATTCAATTTTTAATTCGCATAGACGTATCCTTTTCCGTACTGTTTTCCCCAGTTCATTCGTAGACTGCGGCGTTGGCAGTTCGCCATTTTTGCTTTGATGCTTGACAAATAGGCAGCAGCTACATAGCAGAACTGCCTAACAGGACAGCCAAGGCTTTTCTACCTCCAAACACCAGGGTTGGTAACATGACGTATTGATAAAAATCGCGTATTAACTTCTCCATTACATAGGATCAAAAACAACGCAATTTTTGTTTGAACAATCCTTCTAGAAACAAAAAAACAGGTTGAACATTTTTTTTTCATTGTTGAGCATGTGGAAATGGATATTAAAAACATGTGTTTACACAATATGTCAATATCCTGTAGTTCCGTTTCTGGGTAGTGGTGAATACGGGGCATGAGTTAACGTGCCCCAATGCTATGGCTACGAACGTTGCCAACGAAACGATGATAATACTAGAGAACTTAATAATGCCGAAAGACCATCTGCTTGATTGTACGAATATAAAACATCATATGTTAGGGTTCTCTTTATTTAAGCCATTCATTTTTTGACGGTGGCATTGAGCCACCGGTGTAGAACGACACCCAATAATTTGAATAGAAGAACATGAATCTAGAGCCATACGTACCTTATGTAACAGGTTTGTCTTAAAGTAGCGAGATCACCCACTTCTGATTTCACTGATTGACAGATTACTGTTTATTTGCTTTCTTTTTCTACAGATACTTCAAGCGTTCCTGCTTGAGTTAACGATAATGCTTTCCATAGCTGGCTTGAATCATGCAGACGGTTTATGTCGATGCTTGTTGTTTCACTCACGAACGTATCATAATTTTGCCTCCCATCATTTCTAACCCTTCCATCACCAGGTTCTCTATCATTTCCAGTGCTTTTTTCCGCTTGCAAGCCTGTTTCCTGGCACAAGCTTTTATGTTACTTAATTTATTGATTCTGACATGATCAGCTGTTCCGTCTTTTCCGCTCATCAGTACCTCTGACGTATTGAATGGAGGGTTTACCAGTATAAACGTTTTTGGCACAGGTTTCTCAATTAATATATAGAAATTCTTTGAGTCTTCACGGAAAACAAAGAGCTTTCCCTTTGAGCTATCCCAAACCGAGAATTTTTCAACGCACGTCTACTGAAGAATTTACCCTTTGCAAATCGCTCGTCGTCATTCTGTACAGATTGATCTTCATCGCCGCAGCAGTAAATGAAATATACAAAAGAAATACGGCCGGTACCTGCTTCAGGAGACAGCGATTCGTGACATTGTTTTTACGTTCTAATCGCACCGAAGGATGGGTCATATTTTACCGTAGATACTGTGGAACGAAATAAAAGAAGACTACTGCTGTTCCTTAAGGACAATGGCCCTATTAAGCAAGACCTGATTTTTGTCTCGTATGCGATGCTGATGTACGCGACGTGTAAGCGTAAAACCAAAGTTGTTTTGACGTTGAGTAGAGAGAGCATGCTAAGCGATTAAATTCATCCCTTTTTGTTTCGAGCTTTACACCCGGAGTCGTTACCACATGGAGTCGAACCTGGACCACATACCCATAAATAAGTAACCAAAGTTTTTTTCATCTACATACTTAAACTTTGCTTTCTTACTCAGTGAGGATTTCGGGATAGACGCCATTTTGTATGCTATTCAACTGAGAAGCACAATAACAACAAGACCGAAGGTTATTAGGTTTATTATGAAACACTATGAAAATTCAATTTGTAACTTTCGCGACCTGATACATTGACAGTGGTCAGTCCCGAAATAGGTGTGGGCAAAATCTATAACCTTAAGCATATAGGAAAAACATTTATGTGGTCTATAACTATATTAGTCGTTTTTATTTATTAATTTAACAAATCGGTCCAGTTGTACGCTATAGCCTCGATAGAGGTGTCAATCAATCACCAAAAACGATACAAAACTACGAAAATATCATAATGGGCCTGATACTGCATCATGATTTCTGAGTTCAGTTTGAATTATTTATTAAAAAAGAGTTGTCTGATTCTCAATTGTCGAACTTCCCTGTACGATATCCTGGTTCCAAGCGATTCTTGGATACATCACCGATCATACAGAGTACACTTCGTACTCGTACATACTCTCTGATAGAATATCATGTTCTGTGTATCAAGATACGGCAGTATGAAAAAAGTGAAAACTCGTATTCCATACACATTATGTATAATATCTTGCATTTTATTCAGCTTTGGGCAAGAAAGTGAAGGTTTCCCTAAAAAAAAAGCGTCCACTTTCAATCATAAGGTGCTAAACTACGTGATCACCATAGATAATCGACTCTAATTTTGTGTGTGTATACACAAAATGTGTATGTACAGGCAGATGTTTCAAAGCCACTTGTTATTCGACTTCCATAAAACATTAACTTTTATGGTGGCCAGGCGCAGACCAACGTGCCGTGTACGTTGGTCTTCACTATTGCTACACTACAGTATCATAGATACCTATATATGCTAGCAGCGTATCTCCCTTAAAGAAACAGCAAGATCTAGGAATAATATAAAAAAATATTTGCACGTAGTCTAAATTAAAGGAACAATAGCAAGTGTTGTCAGAGGCCTATTGATTGAAGCCATATTTTGCATGGTGACCTATGGAGAGATTAGTACTATGTGTAGATGCTGGAGCAACGTTAGATGGCAGGGTGTGCATTTGATCATTGTGATAATTATCATGCCTCTGTCCTGATACTGCAGCGGCAGAGAGGTCCCCATGAATTGATATGTTCAACGAATTACTCGTAAGCTGTTGAACGTGTTCACCTGTTTGCTGGGAAGCATCGCCATTTGAGTTTGTCATTGATAAGCTGCTGTTATCTGTTGTCGATGACGCCACAGTTGAAGGCCGATTGGCATACTGAGGTGCGAGATTTTGTACTATACGACTCAGGCAGTCGAGACTACTCGGCTCAAATTGTACTGGCGAATCTGATAGCGTCGATGAATATCCTCGATGACGACCCAATAGCTCTGTAAAGTCTGTAGTAAATAGAAGAAGCAGGTTAATAAATAAGAAAACTTCAATGACTCGATGACGTTTCCAAAGCAACGACTACCGGCTAGGCATAGCGCAGATGTTTCTCGACCGATAAATCGATTCTCCAACTGCATAGGGTTTTATCTAGCGAACTGTATTAAAAAGTTGAAGAAAGTCGCTTTACTGGTCATGCTTCGACTGAAGTTTGTTTCTGACATCAGGATGGATAACTTGCGACCCATAACCCAAAAGTTTTACTAATCCAGTCTTTAGCGAGATTGATTGAATGTATGCGGCAAGCGCGTTGACTAGCGTCTAACTGTTTGATCCGGCCAAAGCGCCGTATATCTTAGTATGGGTTGTTTGGACGAGCAACAAATAATTCCATGATCTAATATACAGGGCATATTGATTGTACACGTTAGCATTGTAAAGACGGCGGGTAACGGACAAAGTCAGTCACTATTCAACAACGATTATATTAGTCGCTGTTGCCTCTACTACAGCTTGAAGAAGAGTTCACTGGTCCCGATGTGAGCATAACTATCAGCAGAGGTTTTGCTTCGAATGGCTGGGTCAGCACAAGGCCGCCTTGTAGACCTCGTGAGAGAAAGACAAAAACCTATACTTTAGCAAAGAGCGTTCACGCTATTGGCGGTAGCTGCTAGAGAGCTCTTTTAGTCAGTAAAGCACATCATTCTCTCTGGCTGAAAAACCGCGTCTGAATAGGACGGCTGTATAGATCGCGTAAAGGTGCACCTGAAGGGGGTAGGTATCCAGCCGATTTCGTCTATGGAAAGTATAATAAAAAAAGAAAAATTTGATCCCACCTGAGGTAGCCTGTGAACTCAGAGATTTTGTACTCTTGCAGATTTCCCTTTCGAATGACAAGCTTGGCGGGTAAACTAGCCACCATTATATCAGCAAGATTGTATAAGAACAGGAACTAGATCCAACCCGGTCAGTCGACATAGACTATGCTCAAATCCGCGGCAGTGATAAAAGTTGGCTAAATGAACAGTTTGCATCGCTCGAGTCCATCTAACGCGAGTTCCACGATAAACGAACGACCAATGAATGTAACAACCACATGTTCCTTTAGCACTTTAGTTTTAAGCTGCCTTCCAATATTGCTGCTTAAATGTATTGGTTCTCATGACACGCAGACTCTGTCGTCGACGTGGATGATGAAAAAACGGCCTTCGATTATACAACGCGAGGGTTATTTATTATGCATAGTACAGAAATAGGTTGAGGCTTCAATGGACTATGCGGTCATATCTGCTGAGCTCGTCAGGCCAGCGTCTGTCAGTCAACACTATAAAACGCTTTCAAAAACAACAAGGCCGATATCCGGAGGGTAGAAATAACAATGTCGTACCTAACACAGAATATCAGCCCTTATGAGTGTGCGTTCGTCACTGGCAGAAACCCATCTTGCATTATGCTACATCTGTCTCAGTACGCCTATGATGTGTATGTACAAGATAATGAACAGTATAATGATATGTTGATGCGATACGTAACGACGATATTGTGGCAATATTCATTATTTTAGTACTTAATAAAATCAGTTGTTTACGTGTAAATTGTTCCTGTCTTGATTTATATAGGCCGCATATTATGTATCGTTGACGGTGTGCTTGGTACTTACATACATACTGCTCGTGAAGCAGCGGAATTACTCGTGTATGATTGTGATGGTGGTTAAATTTCAGGTGGGTAGTTTATATAACCCTATCGGCCAATGCTACGCTAGTTCATATACGCCGTAGCGATATACTATAGTAGTAGGATTCTCTAGATGAATGAATAGTTGCGTATACAATATAATTGCTTTCAACCTTTGTAGGCCTTAATTGGAAAATGTCATCAATTCAATTGTCGATGGCGGAGCCACGACTTGTAATCAAGCCACGATCATGTGAGGCAGCTGTGTCGTCCAATGCATAAATATATGTTGGAAACGAAGTGGTGTTGTCGCACATAAAGATCTCCTCATTTCGGACTGATCTTGCCTTGTGGCTCATGCGCTATAGATCCCCTTTTGGATAGTTGACTTCCCTCCTAACCGTTGCCTGGTCTTCCACAGCTGGCAAATCTGTCATGTGTGACTTACTTACGATGTGCCAATGTGGCACGATGAGTGTCATCTCTCGAACGGATCGCTTTACGGTTTTAGCTGCCAGGACTAGTCAAGGTGAGACTATGTTCAATAGAATGACGAATTCCAGATAGAGCCTATAATGGCAATGAACCGAAATTATTTCGAATAGTTTTCATCTAATGGTAAGTGTTGAGTGAGCGTTTACGTTTGTCAGCCGGGGGGAGCCCGCGGAGTATCATCATTAGAAAAATGCTAATATGATAAATCACCTCACCTTTCACCCTGTCCTTTATTTAATGCCGAACATTTTCTTAACAACAAGTATCACGCCACGTATTCTACACCTCTTCTAGCTTTTTCACGGCTTTTTGCAGCCACGCTGGTTCACGCCGACCCAACTTTCGTGTTATCACTCCGCATATTTTCATACTAATCTTCTACCAGACAGACACGTCTTGAATACTGTTCCTTGCCATTTCATTTGAAGGTGTTATGAATGACATTTTCGATTTGGTTCTATAGTGTATTGAAATTTCGAAGCTTTGCGCGTTACACACCCGGGCAATTTGAAATTTTGACAATTTTATGTAAATTTTATAGCCTCCGTACGATAACGCAGAGGAGAGTAAACTGTACATCTAGGAAAGGATGATATGTACAGCATTATTGTTATTCATAATTATGTTATCTTAAAATTGATAAAATAACACAAGAACTGAATAAAAAAAAAAAAAAGAATTAACACGACCAAATTTTCGAATGCCCACACAGCAAAAGTGAAATATGTCTAGGTGATTTATAACCTCTTTTTTTGGTTGCATTTCTCGTTCATTGTTCAGAGGTACACGTATAAGGTGTCAGTGTTAGTAAAAGATCTAAAGGTTCCCAGGAACAATCGTACCGCGCCACTGGGTGTTCTGAGACGCGATGGCTGGATGGTAAAGGACACTACAGTTAAAAGGCAAAACTCCGAAGTAGCTAGCTCAAGACAAGAGCCCCGTTGTACTCCAAGAGACCTCACAGAAGTCGCCTCTGCTCCATGTTAGGACGGGCCAGTGTCATATCTGTAAGCATGGCCTAAACGATACCGCTTAAACCTCTATCGCAATTTCATGCGAACAACTACTAGATAACAATCATTTTATATCCAGGAAGTGTCGATGTCCTGCAATATATTTGTCCTCTCATCATCCGGCATCATCGAACGTGCAAAAAAGGGTTACATTTTCAATTACAGATATTACGCCTATATTTACAAGTTGTTCATCTATTTCAAGAACGAGCAAATAGTTTACGAGTTTTAACAATGCCATCTTTCGAAAAATTTATTTGAAATAAAGAAACCAATACGCTAAGTCAAATAAAACTGTTCTTAAAGCCAACTTAGAGCTATTCAAAAGGCCGGTGTTTTTGGAAAGGATTTGGTCGCCGTCCGATACACGTACCCTAATATAATAGACACAAATTCGGACCATATCACCAGCGATGCGTTTTCAAATCACTGCAATATTTCCAGTTCATCGCTAACATATATTTCATTTTTTACAGTTGACACGTTTGCATATGCAGCCACGCCTATGACGCCAACGACACGCTAAGCAATAGTCCCGCTATTTGCCAGGCCTATTTATGGTATACGTTTTTGAGTGTCACGCCGCTGTGTCACTTAACACACCTCAACCACGCGTTTTCAGCCGGCCTGCACGCCGCCACTGCGGGCGTTGCCTGCCACCGGCTGATTCTCCCTAGTACTGATATTAGTAATAGCGGCAACAGTATCAAAGATAGTCGCTGTTACTCACCTAGTTTTTGTTGGTGTTCGCATCCATTGGCCGGCCTCTGAGCCATCATTTCTTTCTCCCGAGCAGAATCTATTTCCTGAAATACACGGCCAGAAGCTTTCGCTTGTTACATCCTCTATCTGATCCAGCGTTCCTTCTATATGTCTAATTCTCTGTCTATGTATCTTCTCGTTCCATTCTTCGTTCTTTAAATCTTGCTGTGTTCATTCCTTCTTTGACGACACATTCGACCTGCGGACTGACGGACTGTTGAGCTCAAACGGACAGCGGCTCAACTCGGCGAGCAATGCTGACATCGACATCCGACTAACTGATATGGCTACAAGTAATAAACTCAAGACGGTAAAGCAACGACCAAAGGAGGGTGTTGAGGAGGGCGGGTTAAGGGGACAAAGTACTCGGGCGGATCTCCTGATAATCGGAAAACGCTCGATAGAAAGTATAGGAAAAAGGACGAGAAATGTGCGATACCGTCTTTCTCTGAAGGTTTTCCCTCGTCCAGGTTTTTGATAGCTACGATTACTTTCCATAGACTAGGTGGAAGTTTCGTAGTGCATTCGGTCCCTTTGCTACTTCTGCTTATATGCACTACATCGATATACTTCTGGGGTGCTCTGAGCGTGCATAGATGAGTCAGTGGGCGTGTTTGTGTGCATGCGTACGTGTTTAAGCAAAACGACATCGCATACTGGGCATCGCGATCTCGCATCTTTGTGCCACGCATGGTATAACAGCCGCAGAGATAACTGTCGCTGGTACTCGGGAGATCGTTACGGTGCTGATCGAGTTGGCTGATTGGGCTATGATGTATTTACTGTAGTAGTTATATAGGCCTAATAGTGAGCTGACGCGTCGTTGCGAGTGGCTGTTGTGTTCCAGCAATGGTACCGTACGGAAAATTACAGCTTCGAGGAAGGTTCGTTGGATAATGGTAGAACACAGAAAATTAGGGGAAGATAACGGCAGTTTGATAAGGGGAAAAATTTTAAAATTTTAAAAATTACTATTTTAAGGCGTACACCCGTATACACGTTTTTGGCCAACTTCTGCATAAAGAACGCACGCAATGAAGTTTTATTAGCTGAACTTTCGGCTGCTACAGGTATAGAAGTACAAGGCTAACTAGAATAGGTTCGCTGTTGAAGCAAGGTAACGATGTACTACAAAATAAAGATAATAAAATGCATCTAAGATATTAAAGAAAAAAACTAGATTGGTTATGTTATTTCTATAGGTCTATATAAATATCTTGTACTTTTTAACCTTCAATTTTATGTTGATATAGGTAACTTACCAAATAACAATTGAAGAAAAGTAAATGCAGCAACACAGAAACCAATGCGGTTACTCCCTCTATTTTTTATAAAAGGAAATTTATAAAACTAAATTTCAAGTAAGCGAGCTAAGCTTTGACTGTTAATACTATACTCTTATAATAAATAGATAAGTTATTCTTAACTGGTATAGTGCGGTTCACGGAATCGCCGCGCTGGATTAACTGGAGTTCGAATATACATAGCGATGTTTCATTTTCTAGCAAGTATTGTTTTAGGCTCAAAGTTAGTACGGATACCTTAGTACGGATAGGCCAACACATCTCCATCATCGATTAGTAATTTTTTAGGTGCCAGTTCGAATCCGGGCGTGGACACACAATTAATTTCGTGATAGGCGCCAGCAATAAATTAATAAAATGCCTAACATATCAGCCCTTACGTCTATAAAAACAAAAGTGTTATCGTTTCTCACTTATAAATAGATGTTTTTTTAATTTATGAACCAAATAACATATTCGCCCTTCCGACCAACAGAGAAATGTATGGTGGTAACGTGCACATTCATAGCATTACTGACGTTCCAGAATAAAAATTGTTTCATGCATAAATATGGGATAACTGCGGTAGCCATACAGATGTTAGGCAAGTCTTGTCTATATATGTAGTTTCTATATCTTGTCTAACGAAGAGTTTTCTATGACTTACGTAGCTATGTAAGTATATATATTTGGCTAGCAATTCAATACCGTAGCTTCTACTCGTATACTGTTCGTAATATGGTGATACTCGCATAATGAGAAAATGCATATAGCAAAAACAGACTGCATGCCGGAATGATAATCGCATCACGCCACAAATCCTATCAGTGTTGCTACTATATCTGCAGAGGGATTGAGGTCCTACATCGCATCCGAGCACAATCCGAGGGATTACGACATGGTTCCGTTGCAGGACATGGTACAGAGGGAATGCCGTCGAGCTATAGCCGAGTGGAAATGTGTGTGAGAGATTATTTCAAGCACTTTTTTGAGAAGGTAAGCAGCCAGAGCACGAATCACGTAATCGCCATCATGTCCAACAACCCAGTTTTGGGGGGCAGGGTTCTTCTCGGTACCCCCTGCAGTATTCACTGCTAAGAATTTTGTTTCCTTACTGTACTCGTACCCTCTGGTACGGACACACGTTCGTACAATGCATTTCAAGCTGAATCTGCCAATGTACAGAGAGTTTGCTCAGCAGTAATCACCTGGTAATAGATTAGGTAATACATAGTAAATCTTATGATAGGCACCACTTCATGCGTATCTAAGATCGTTCTGTTTGACATAACCGGAGGATAATTCTATCATCACCCTTAAAGACCAATCGACGACCCAGACGTAATGGTGTCGTAAGGTCATGTGATTTCGATCTTTCACATGCCATATTAGAGAGGACCCGATACACATAAACGAACGTCTAAAACGAATCTGCATAGCTGGCGAGCATGTCTTCTTTGCCTTTATTATTATCCATACCTCGTTACGATTGTTAATAACAATACGATAGGCGCATTAGCGATTTCACACGATTGATTTAGGCGACACTGGCTTTGCAGGCGATTGGCCCAGGGTCAGAAGGACAGAGTAATAGAGAGGGAGAGAGAGAGAGAGAGGGGGGGGGGGGGTGGTAACAGACGAAGATTCACACAAGCTTCCAAATTCACTGCTCGAAGTTCGTCCATAGGGTGAACGATGAACGGAAGACCATCTCGAAACAAGAAACGAGGCGACCTGTAAGCAGTCTATTGTCATTCCGGGCAACGATTCCGACGCGCAGAATTGACATGTTCACACCAACGCGGGTCGCCCTACCTCACGCAAGGGAGCACGAATAACTAAACGAGTTCTAGGATAGACTGTGCTGGTGGGGCAGGCACAAAACGACCCAGCACATAGTGCCCTTGGGCTTGTCGAGCAAGCAGGAACGTGTCTGTGTATGTAAGGATATGTCTATGACAAATGTAATGTTGATCTCCAACGAACGGGTTCCACTTAATATCTCAACGTGTATCCCATCGTAGGTCCGATGTTGCAGAACGGCGCGACGAACGTGAGCGGAACATAGATAGCGCGTTTGGGCTATGCTCACCTGCGGCCACCCACGATCTAGCGGCCTCTTCTAAAAAACCGACGAAGATAGATCTAGGGCCAATTTGGTGACAAGTTTTTCGATTGCTGACGAGCACGAACATGGGCATTGTACCTGCCAGAAAAATAATTTTACGCCACCTTCAGCGTGATTCGTGTGACGATGACTTATAGCAAAATGAAGCGGCCACACACAAGAAAGCATGTTAAAGAGATTTTAACACCATTAGCCGCAGCTAAATGACCGGTGTGGAACAGTGTTGCAAATCCCGACACGATGCTATTAAATGCAAAATAAAGCCTACATCAATCTGACACGTATTTCTATGTTTTGTGTAGTTCTGCTGTACCGTGAAAAATATAAGAAGTTCCACTCGTAATCGTAAAGCTATGGCCAAAAAAGCTTTTACGTGTATTTTAACAGGTTAATATAATAAAGTTTAACAGACTCAGACGGAGTATTAAATCTAGAATATCAGCATGATGTTACTAAACGAAAGAACGTGCATTCATGAGTCGTGATGTTTCTACATTGAGGCGTCTTTGTTTTGAAACTGGGGCACTATTGTGCATTAATATCATACTAACAAGTATCAGAAGCTACCTACTTAGAAGCGGTTAGGACGAACCCATCTGAACCCTATCTAGAGCCACTTCTCATAATATACCAGGTCCACAAAGTTAACAGCCAACCTTGTTTTTCCAAATACGTACACGAAATATGCATCATCTGCTTTTTTGTTCCAGCCTACTTACTTGAATCGTAGCGTAGGCAACAGCTCTAGCCCTAATACCTAATCGGAAATCACATATCTCATCCAGAAGTATCTACAGTCCCCGTCTGCTTGTCGCTATATTTATCCAGCTTTTTCATGCTTTCCAATTATATCAAGTACTCAACATTTGCCGTAGCCGTACAGGATGAACTAATCCGACATTGACAACCTGTGACAGCGTCTAAGAGACGTCCTACCCGGCGTGATCCAACGTCGGTGATGATCAATTAACGTCTGAAAGGTGGATTGCGTCGAGTACGCACAGGATAGAATTGTCGGAAGAAAGCTTCGTCGCGTCCGGACACATATAATAAAAGTGTGTCGAGAAACGGGTTTAGTATGCGACCCGACAGTTCTCTGAAAAAGCAGAACGATCTATTTTGTTTGCCCGCAGGCACTGTAGAGAGGAAAGATGCCCAGAGCTAGAGAAAGGACAACTCAATCCTGTTCATCGTTAGGTGTTTGGTCAGCCAATAGCCCCCAGTCGGCTTAGGCTGAACTTTGTTCCAGCCAACCCATTGTGTGTTTGTGTCTAGGCCCACATCTGAATCAAGTTGTGACGTGCAGTCGGATCGCAAGGACGAGACCGAATTAACGTACCAGTCCATAACTGACCTTCGAATGTCGAGTACAGAAGAGAATCCGTTTAATATAGAATGGTGACAATAAATAGGCTTATTCAGGCCATGCTGCTAGAAAGTCAACTATAGTTGATACGTTTATTGCTGCATCATATCTGGGGGGTGGTTGGGGGTGAGGGGGGCTCGTGCAAAAGAATTTCCATTTAAACAACAAAATTATGATTTCCGTTTTCTCGTAATATAGATAGTGCCAATAACGGACTCCGTTATATGGCAGTATCACCAGTTCAGAGGAATCTATTAAAAAAAGGCGCATTAATGTAAGCCTGAAAGGATAAAAAGTGGAGGACGCATATAGTTGTATTACAGTTTGGCACAATAAACAGCTCAAATCCGTCGACCTGCAGGCCATACTTTTTCTAAACGTATAAAAAAAATTAAAAACTATTTCCGTTTTTTCCTTGTCAGGCTTCCGTGTGGAGACCGTTTAATTACAGTTGAGTTGGGTGTCTTTTGGTGCATTTTTTTTGTATTTGACCAGTTTGTATCTACTAGCGGTACACAGTTCGTGTAATCCTGAACAGTAAACTCAAACTACGTCAGGGCTGTCTTAATCTTACAGAATTTTCGGACGGCGGCCATTAAAATGAGACATCGATATTTCTCGTGCGCGTTTTCTTTCATTACAGCGAAAGCACCTACATAACGAAGGATAGATACTAATATACACCCTAGGAATTTTTTTTTTCGCAGATAAATTCAAGCTTTTGCGTCACTGAGTACCATAAGGTTTTGAAATTGTAAACCCATTTTGCTCAGTGAATTCTGCTGTTCTACAACGTCGCTAATCATTGTCGTGTTTGGACCTTTTCAATCAAAAAGAAATTCATATCATTTGACTTTATAGCCAGGCACAATAGCTGATGCGTCTTTTTCTAGATAAGAGTGTAAAAGTGGATGTGCGGCCTATCTGTCTATCTAGATCCCCCCTTTCCCCATTTTCAATTTCGCTGCGGTCTGGTGCTCAAGATAATCGTTGCCCAATCTATGTAGCTCAGCCACGAGCAGTCTAACCTGCAGCAAGCATCTACAACTCTTTGGTTCCCAGGATGCACCTGCCATTTACTGCCCATCATCCAGAGCGTCTCCATTGTCGCGCTCATCCGAGCGGACATGGCAACAACAGGCTAAAGCCGACAGGTATACGAAGATCAACGCACAACAAAAAGGCCCTTCTTCTCTTTCTCAGGTCCTTTTCTTCTGTTTCTTTCTGTATACATATATATATATATATATATATATATATATATATATATATATGAAGGAATCGACTTTTCCCCTAATCTCTTCATGTTTATGACAATGGGCATGAAGACATGCGTACGTGAGCGTTGAAGCAGTGGTCGTCACTGTCGCCGCCACAGTCACATGCGGACGACAATGACAGGAAACACGGCTCACACCACGGCCAAGTGCCAACCATCCTCAGAGATTATAGGGATGCTCATTTTTAAGCAGGCACACAACACGCCGCGCCCCGTCGGACCAAACGTGAAGAAAAGGAAGCGATGGCGGTTGGGACGACTGCGATAACTCAACCGATAGGGACGATAGGGAGCCCAGAGAAGACAAAGGGGAGATGAAAGAGATGCGGGAACGATCCCGAAGATGAACAACTCGAGACAACATCAACAACAAAAACTACAGCAACTAGTGCTTGTGGCGGCAGTAGCTGTGCCATCTTTGCGCTCAGGTTAATGCCTGAAGCAGTAATAAGGTACGAATATATAGGAAGACCTGGACAGAAGGAAACACAAAGAGAGTACAATAGGTGGATTTCGAAAAAAAGCGGGAAGGTCAAGGGAGAGATCTCTGCAACAACGACAAACTGTGCCAAGCAGGTAGACGACAAGCAAATAGCAACGGTCGAGACGGAGTGCTTGTGGGTGCCTGGTCGAACTGCAGCGGCAATTCAATGTCCGCGCACCACCACGGGCTAGTTGCTGAAAAGTTTCGTCGTTATGAAAACAACACTGGTACAGCGCATGTAGCTCATTCTGTCGAAAGACTGAAGAGGCCAGTCACCGGTCCTCGTTGTGGCAACAGCCTGCGGCCGAATAAACAAAGGATCATAGAAAAGATTCATTGGGAAGGGAAACATTTAACTGAAAATACCTAGTTTAGTCAAGTACACAAATGCAAGAACACATGATAGTTAGTGGGAAATTCGCTGTTTTCGTTATTTTCTGGTGACGAAGTTTATCTCTACACTTGTATTGCTTGAAGCGTTGTGTTTGCGCCGCGATAAAACCTGTGTGATCACGCAAATGTATAGTGATCTTTCCCTTGAGTAGTTTGTCAATATTTAGTAGTCATATCTATTCATGATTGTAAGCCTATGGGATATTATCTTTTTCAAGAGTTCCGCCACATCAAGTTAGTTTACTAGAAATAGATCTTTGGCATTTCATGCGTTCGAACCAGCATGGTTTTACATTGTCGCTGTCGCTACTATAATATGCCTAACGTACGGATAGGACGACAAACGGTAAGTTGTCCATTATTTGAACAGTTATCGAATTGAACTTAATCAGTTGTTCGTTCGCAACGCATCCCTTGCTAGTCAAGCATGTCTAGCTTTCGCAGAGTTCCATTTTCGTAGACATGACTTTTTACGAATAATGCTACTGACACGGTCACTGGGTCTATGAAGGCTGAACTCTAATCACTTACGCGATGATGCAATCGGTTACTCCGGTCGTGATCAAAATGCTTCCCGTCGATAGGAGAGCTCTGCCGCATCTTTTGTGTCTGCAGTTCTCGAAAACGCTGCATAGCGCTAAGGGAAGCTGTCCCGCTAGCCGTCAGTAACGACCCATGGGGCGAGCTACTGTTGTGCAGAAGTTCCTCTAAATTTTCGATGTACTCTGAAACGAAGACGCAGACGAATAAGGCGTCTTACGAACCGATCAGCTCGTTTCTGGTCATGTCAAGTGAGCTAACTAAGACATGTTTCTATCGGTCGGCTAAATAGACTTCGTAGGTCGTTAGAAGATCACTTGCAACATTCACGAACGTATGTTTTAACCTAGCCAATCTAAAATTTAACCGATACTAATGACGAACTATATGTACCACGAACGCACCTGCACCAACACGATGCTGACGTCTTCACGTTTTACCGTACGATTTCACTGGTTAATTTTGTGTAGAACTACTACTAAGGTAACCAAATTTAGCGATATTGGAGTTACAAGTAAAAAGACATTTGAAGCCCCTTCAATGTGAAATTTCATTGGACATAGTTCTAGATATATGATTCAAGCACGAATCGGACTATCAGTTACGTGGTCCTCAGAACGCTGTCTCTTAGATACCGGACGTAAAATTTGTTACGCTGTCTCCATCAGCCACACAATTGCGATTTTCTTCAAATCTCAGCTTTCCACCGTAAAGATCCGTATTATGCTTTGTTTTTGATTGGCGCTTTATCAAATATTTATAGGATTAAAATAACGTTGCGTACGATATGTGCTGCGTTACTTAGACAAAAGCATAATATTAATCAGAACTTTTGGATGTAAGTTGGCGCGGCACGGGATAGACCCTACGACACAGCAAGCAATACATGACGGAGTGAATTTCAGCAGAGTATTGCAAAGAGATAATATTATGAAAAAATGAGCAAGTTTTAGATACCGATTGCATTTCGGAGGATTTCTACTTTTGGCAGCCTCTGACTGGGGTTAGCTGAGGTTCTCCGTTTCAACAATTCGAAAGCCTCGTTCACTTTGCGAAGTCTACGCCTTTCGCGTAAGGTTGCCGCCTTCCGTCGATCCACGCTGACGGAGCGTCTTTTGCACACTTTGCACGCCCAAACGAGACACGTGCCGCCACGGCTCGAGCATTGCGAGCTTCGGACGCCTCCACTATCAAGCTCCTTACCTGATGAAGACTCTGCAATAAACGAAATAAAGATTTCAGTTACAAATGGAAGCAAGTGGCTCGGGCTAAATGGACCAACGCGATCAAAACGGCCGACCGGCCCGCCAACATCGTATATGTGCTGTTTGATTGTACTAACTTTCGTTGAAACTCAAATGAAGAAATTATATTTACGTTTTTTTTTAGTTGTCGTTAAATTAAGTATGGTTGGATAATCATGAACAGCTACTTTGTGTCACACGATTAATGAAATTGTAGTAATCATGATAAATCAACCTACCAAAGCATAGAATGGGCAAAGCGAAAAAAAAAAATAATTGAAAAAACTAGGTAAAGCAGATTTGCGTAACCGTAACGTAATTGCGGCACATGACCATTAAATGAATATCTGGATCAACATTACTAAACCATCTCATTCGGGGCACATTAAATTTAATGACAAATCATCATATTAAGGTTTTTAAAGCTATGATATCAACAATCATATAGGTTTCTTTGTAATTAAAAGCTTGAGTTTACATTAACTGCTCGTTCTTCTCATACTAGACAAACTGCCAACGAAATTCAGACAAGTTCTATAATAGGCAAGATAAACTATTGTCTTATATCTTTAATTTTACTGGCGAAATTTCAAAATGATCCCTTATATAATCGTGAAGTTCACCCTTATCACTCTCCATGACTATTCCAAAATACAAGGAACGTCTAACCCTTATTTCGTCATAAACCATCCTTATACGTCGTTCATTTAGGCAATATACTGGACCCTTCTTTGATTCAGTGACGAAAATAATAAAACTCAGTAATGCGCGACAGGATTTGTCAAGTCCCATAATGTCTGCTCTGCGTAATTAGGGAAATCAATTCGACGACCTTTAATAAATTTCGTTATTCAACAAAATATCTGTGACGTGTGTATAACACGACCCTATAATTAACAGTACCTCCTCTGAATCAAACCTTCTAACGGAAAGAACTTCCAACCCGTCAGTATTCTGTTGCGGGAATGATGAGCGCCGAGTCCGATATGCGAGTTACAATCGGAAACGCAGTATGAGTCGTCCAATATGGCGGCCAAAAATGATCTCGTAACTGATGTATGAGAGTAATACAATACTTTATTTCGCGTGTACGATCTGTTCACTTTGTCTATGAAAATTAAAGGGTAATTTAGAAAACTAAAGGACACGATTTCATAGGTTGAACATTTATTTGGCGTTTGCCTACCGTGATCTGTGAGGTCGTCATCGAAGTCCTGACTTTTGGCAGACTCAGGGCTGTTCTGAGCCGCTTCGTTGTATTGCCCAGGGTAAGTGTTCCCGTCGCCTACACACATTCTGTTTCCACGGCCCTCACCGGGGGCTCCCACAGGCCCTAGATAACTTCCGCCACACCCGTAGTAATAATCATAAGGGTCCACTCCATTGGCTAGCATCTTGCTACTGACAGTAAGTACAACTTCTCTACTGACACCCACTCTGAAAATCCACTACACTACGATTTACGCTGATCACGTTGCACGTTAAAAGTTTAGACACACTTCACTAAGTTGCTAACTAAGCGCTAAACTTGGCCAGTGTAACGCCGTCGCTCTTTTAATTGCGCCCAGTGATAACTGCTACGATGGCAGTCAAAACAGGTTGTCGAAGCATGTAATTCATTCGATGAAGTCATGAAGACACATCAGGTGGAAGTACGTAACACCAGCTTAGGACGTTTCTAATAATGTCACTTTACATAGACAACCTCGACTAATTCACTACGATCAAACATCGCACGCTCACAGAACTTCACTTATTTTAATCTACGTATTCTTTGAACCCTATGCTTCCCAGTCAATACGTTTTCTTTGTCAGATTTGGTCATAGTCTCAATTCTTGTTTTGCATATATTTCCGTTCGAATACGAATAATTTTCGCGCAGACATGGTATGCCATGTATGTTGCACGATGACTAGACAGCAAAAGTCTCATCCGCGCCTCGTGGCGGCGGTCGTGCACGCTAGCGAAGATCTAGCTCGGTACCAACTTTTACTAGAACCGATCAATCGCCTGTGGTAACTAGATAAGGGCAGCGGCTGGTTGGTCAGAAACCCGACGGGCAGGACCTGTAGGAGGAGCTTAAACTCTGGAAGATCTCCTCCCTCCGGAAGGAAACCTACTCGTTGCGGCAGTCGCTGAAGGAACGAAACTCGCGATTTGTGCTCTCGCTCGGGACTTCATCTTTTCCTATTCCACGCCTTCCGGATACGATCAGCAGTAGAACCAAAGGCAGGCATATTGTACTACCATTGTTTCACAGCGCTTGAGAAGCGCTATAAAATCGAGCGAAAGACGGAGATCACTAAATGAATAAGATTTCGCGTCGGAGACCCGGAGCGGTTCAACTATAAGCTGTAAAGCTCTGCATTTTTCTGCCACGCAGATACTGTGTACTAGACAGATATGCTGGTAGATGTGTCCAGAAACCCAGCCGACACGCAGTTGGTTAGTGATTCGGGAATAGATATGGGTTGGGCACAACAGCGGCCGCCAGCGACAAGAAACCATTGAATAGCTGAATCTTTGACAACCTCCTTTCTAATGATTGTAACAGTTTATTACCAATGTTTATCTAATAGAACAGCTATCGAGGACAGGTCATCATTTTTAGCACTTTGTATGTAAGGATGTGGGACGTATGTGTTTACACATATACTTGTCGCGACGCTTTCCTTTAGTGATCGTAATTAATACAGTAGAATTAAGTTGAAGTGTTGAGTCATAGGATGACGTTCTAGAGTGTTGGTCGCAAGAACTGATAAGGTCGTTAAACTGAAGATGGCAGTAGCAAATACATTAGCAACAAGAATGTTCTCCGATTCGGATGTTCATAATTGCCTGTTTATGGTCTAATTGATTCTCTTTATTAGGACCTTGCCTTAGCAAATGGCTAAGCCGGACACAAAGCAACCTCAATTTACGCATTATTTCTTGCTTTCTATCCTTCTTAGGTTGGTTGATTGTAAAAGAATTATGAGGAATAGCGTCCAGGTTTTTTACTTATTACAGATTAAGTAAATTATAAGACGTAGCTTGAAGCTACTCCCAAAATGAAGAAGAATAACCAGGATACGCTAAGAAATATGCTAGCTCAGACCAAGAGTTTAAGAGCCTGTAAAGATCCAAATTATGACACGTAAATAAATAGTTGAAAAGTTTTTTGTAATTAAAAAACAAAAAGAATTACCCTTACATCCCTCTGTATATGTGCATAAGGACTCGACTTTGGCTCACTGTAAGGCTCGTAAAAATATCGGATTTGATCCTTAAAGGTTGTAGATTTTTTTAACAGTTTGCGTTGCTTGATGTCTAAATGATAAAATAAGAAAGGCGGCTCATTATCGTAGAGGTCCATTACTGTTGCACTGGTGCTCGAATCAACTTACAAGTGTGTATATATATGTACTTAGATTATTGCCTAATTCTACCGAAACTACGATTAAACTACAGCTCAAAAGTTACTCGATTAAATAGCAACAATCACCATTTTAAGCTATTTAAGGACGACTATATTTTAATCAATCATAATTGGCTAAAAAGGTAGACTTTGTCTGCGCGCGCATATTTGAAACATCAGTCAAGTTATGGTTCGAGCCGCTTCCCGAATCTTTTGACAGAAATCATCATACATCAGTTTTTAGGTCATTCACTGGTATCCTAGTATCTAGAAAAGGCAGGCAAGAGGTACCCGTTGCCCGACAGATTAGCTCTCGTTTGTTACTTCACAACGAGTCTGAAAATAAACCATTAACATAGATCAGCATCTTTGGTTTGCTTTGCCTACACATCCAATAACAAACTCTGTTTGAGGTACTTGAAACATAATATTGATCTTGTCGTTGTTGTAAGTACCTAGTCATCTAAAGCTCCTTGTGACTGCTTTCGAAAAACGCTCGCCCTACGCAATGTCGACGCTAGCGTAACACGTAAACCATCATATGAGATAACAACCGGAAAGGGCAGCAATAAATTTTGTCGTATATACATCGAATAGCAAATCATGCGTTATGTGAACGAGATCGACTCCCCACTGCTGGTTCTTTGCAGGCCAGATCGCACCAGAAGGCAAGTTTGCTAGAAGGACAGTGATCTGTTCTAGGGTCGACAAAATGACGCTACCCCGGCCAAGTATTGGTGATGCTAGCTCAAAATCAGGCTATTCCCGACCCTGGAACCTCACCAGGGAGTACACGGATTACATCTCTGTTGTCTAATGATCGTCACTGTCAAGTGTTCTTCACATATATGAAAGCATAGTTTCTATAATATTTTTGCACAATCAATCTTCCTGGTGAGCTCTTCGTAATCTATATTTTGACTGCTATTACATTACACAAACGTATATGTGTATATAATAATTGCATCTCTAACCATCGAATTTTTATCCGAGACGCTTCTGACTTTGCCTTTGGTTTTTGTGCAAAGCTTGTTCGTCATAACCAAATATCTGTACAAGGTTCATACCGTATACGTTTGCTGAAGTTAAAACGGATTGTGCGGTTTAGCGAGTGATTTTACTGATTGCTGAAGCGCTCGGAAAACTTTTCCGGGATAAAGCCTCATTATACGTTGCGTGCGTGGGAATAATTGAGAACGTATCTCGAGTTCTGGGCATGGCGATATTCAAGCTGCTCGAAAATAGTTGAACGTGATACCTTCAATCATGTTGCGCCCATTTTATCGAAGGCTACAGCTCTCAGTGTGTGAAAACGCAGGTCCGCCCTCTCAAGTGAAATAGTCAGGTAGTTTCTTTGAGCATCTCTAGGAGGCGGGGAAACCGGCATTTGAATGCGGGTTCGTCACTTATATATCGACTACTGCATAAAATAGGGTAACTCCCAGAGCCAGGCTGCGCTAGCAGAAAGCTCTGGACAATAGGGGCCGAGTGGTGCGAATGATCGCTAGTGGCATTTTAGGTAAGGATAAGGAGTGAAAGGTTATAAGATAAGGAATGAAATAATAGCGAAGTAAATTCTACCAACTCACCATTTTGCCAAAAGTCAGAGATGGTACCTGAACGAAACTCATGTAATTTAAATCTCATAAGTCAAACTCTGCTTATGAGTGAACCTTTTCTTTCGGCATCTTAAATTGAATAGTCTTTTAGAACTTTTAAAAGGTGTAGCATTTATACTCAAAGAAATTGTTTGCTTCGCAAGTTTGCAGTAGTTCATCTTAGTACGGCGAATACCGACGTCCGACCGAGAGATTTTTCACAGCCTTCGAACACTCGAGTGTTTAGTACACCATTGCTAGCCCAGCTCTTTTTTCTGTCATTTCCATGTATATTAACAGTCCAGTTCCGTCTCTTTAAATCTAGTTCCTCATAACAAGGCCCGCTTCTTTGTCCTTGGCTTGTGTGTGGACCATCTAAACAAGCTCCCGGTTCTAGTGTCGCTTCGGCGTTAGGAACCGCGGTACGCAAAGAAAGTACGCGTGTATATGTCCTTTATCAGTTAGTTCTTCACCGAAGCGTGCCTATAACCATTCTATGCTTTGCAGCAATAAAATGACGCACTGCTGATCTGTCCGGCGCCATCTGTAGATAATTGTTGAACGAAGAATTCTATTTTATGTATAGAATTTTACGTAGAATTAGCATAGAGTATTTGTCTAGCAGTCATAAACATGGCATCGATAGCTCACTCTATGGATGTCGCGTTGTTTAGATGATTAAGCTCATTATGATAAGTATTTGCTCACTATTCTTCATTGGTCATCAGACTCGTGCAGTAACCAACATGTTTCCTATATGTTCCATTATTGCCAAAGAGGTTGAGCGTTCTAACTGGAAGGAATTGAAACAAATTTAAACATAAGATTTATGTTTTGTCCTATTGGAATTTCCGTTGAAAATAATTTTTTTTTCGCTCTTCAATTTTATTACTTTTTGGAAAATACTCAGGGACATAGATATTAGCAAGGCAAGTTTCACATTATTCAGTCTGCTTGGTCAAGATGCTTAGTTCGAGCATTTCTATCTCATCATTGTTAGCAAAGGCCTTACTTATACGACTCTTTAGGACGTTAGCACGAAATGATGATATTTCTGGAAAGATACAATCAATGCGACAAACGATTTGGGTGTTTGATACACTTTTTTTTTATAAACAAAAGTGTTTGTCATCGAGTTAATCGAAGCCCGATTGTGGTACATAGTTCATTCAGGGTCCCACAGTACTGTGAATCGTTTTTTTGCCTTTTGCCTGCTTTAATATTGAGTAGTAATAGTACTACTCTTTCTATTATAGGGGACGCCAACAAATTCCAGTATTATATGTTGCTACTCGTTTACAAACTATTGCCAAAGGAAATAAGTCT